AGGCCGCATTTGAACTCAGGTCTTCCTGACTTCAGGGCCGGTGCTCTATCCACGGCGCCACCTAGCTGCCCCGACAATTTTCTCTTAGACCAACTTTTCATACTGGTTCTTCTTGGGTACAAAGGCATAATCACCAAAGTAGTTCATACAGTAATCTGGAAGCTCACAGGAGAGAGGGGAATTTCCAGTTACATGGCAGTGATGTTCCCATGGAATGATGGGCTGGGGTAGAATCAGGAAATGTACAAAACATACAAAATTTTTCTTTGGGGGGCATAATTCAAAGATACACCATCCAAATATAAACATGACACGTAGAAATAACTTATAAATTTCATTCTGTTTCCCACCTTCCCAACTACCTCTAAGTAATGAAGGTATCAATTTAACTCAACAACAATTTATTAAATGTTTACTTAAAAAAAGAAGGCACTACACTACGGACTGGGAATGCAAAGATGACCTTGTTTTTAAGTAGTTATAATCTGGGGCTGGGTTAACACATATATACACAAACAGAGGCATGATAACAAGTAAAATGTGATATGACAAAGGAAGGGTCTACACAAAGGTTTATAAGAAATACAGGAAAGGAGATGAAACTTTCAGGTTGAGGGTGGGGAGAAGATCCAGGAAAAGGGTAAGACTTCTTGAAAAAGGTAACATGTTAATTGGGTCACAGTGATCAATGGTAAACATTCATTAAGTACCTATGTGCCAGGTACCATGCTAAGCACCAAGAATACAAAAAGAGGCAAAAGACAGTCCCTGCCCTCCAGAAGCTCACAACGTAATGGGGGGGGAATCAAGAAAGAATGAATTTCTCACATGATCTATAACTAGACTTTCCAAGAGATATCCTCCCATAACATGAGCTACATCTCACACAGAGCTGAAAGGAAACTCAAAACTCATCGAATCTTGAACTCCTGAACAGGAATCTCCTCCTCAAAATCCCTGAGTGGTCACACTGCCTCCACCTACAAACCTCCAGGGTCCCAAAACAGTCAATCCCACTTCTGGACAAGCTCTGATTGTTAGGTCCTTTTTCCTTAAGGGACCTTAAAGTGACCAAGTCCAATCCCCTCATTTTATAGATGAAGAAAGGTTACAAGATTCACCCATGGTCATACAGCTAGAAAGTACCCTAGGCAGGACTGAAATCCAGAATTTTCTGACTCCAAGTCCAGTGCCTTATCTACAATACCATGTTGCCTCTAGGGTGTTATAGGAAAGCTATTTGTAAAACTTAACAGAGTGGAACCTCGGTTTTAAGGAAGTGTCCAGGCCAACTATACTCACTCCTTCACTCTTACCTAATCCTGACTCTCTAAAAATTTTTCTAAACCATGCCCTTGGCTTTCCTTTCCTTCTCACAACCCCTCAGCTTCTTTTTATACACTGTCTTTCCACATTAGAATGTAAGCTCAGGCATTAGAATGTAAGAGGAAAGGGACTACTTTCTTTCTTCCTACTCATATTTGTATTCCTAGCACTTAGCACAGTGCCTGGCACACAGACAGCACTTAATAAATGCTTGCTCACTTGAATGAATTATGTTAAGTCAAAAATTTACTTTTCTGAAACTTCCACTCATTGCTGTATGCTGGAGAGGCAGCATGACATAATGGTTTTCCATTAGACTTGAAGTCAAAAAGACCTAGGTTTGAACCAGGTTCTGATACTTCTTAGCTATAACTCTGGGAAATAATTTCTCTAAGCTTCATCTGTAAAATACACAAAATACTTTTACCATGTACACTGTACAAGGGGATCAAATGATCATACAGTTAGAACTGGAAGGGGCTTTAGGGACCATCAAGTTTAACTCCCTCATTTTACAGATGAAAGAACTGGGTCACAGAGAGGTTATTAAGTGACCTGCCCAGAGTCAGACAACTATAAACTATATGACACAGGATTTGAACCCAGGATTTCATGATTCCAAGTCATTGCCTTATCCACTATACCACACTGCCTCTGGGGTACTGTAAGGAAA